CCATTTTGAGAGGCTTTGGCATACAAGGCAATATACAGGAGACACGCCAACTTTAAAAGGGGCTATTATATAAATTTCAGTTGTGTTGTTTTGTTCGATGGATTTTAAATGGAAATGAATGAGTGAGTGAATGTGAATGAATGAAGCTCTTATTAAGCACTTACTGTGTACAAAGCACTGGGAATACAAATAGAAAGGTAAGATATTCCCTGCTCTCAAGGAGCTTACATTCTAATAATGATGAGAGGATACCTAGAAGGTTTCTGCTGCAAGTTAGATGGAAGGGTCCCATGGTCCTCAGGTGCAATGGCAAACAGATGTTAATGCTTCTTTTTTAATATCATTTCCATTGATAAAGTGGCACCAGTTTTTGTTGTCGAACTATTTGACAGTGCCAGGGACTTGGGTGAAAGGAGCTGTCTCTTCGAGGACTTCAGTAGATGAGAAATACTGGAGCAATGGCCAGGCAGCAACGCCACAGCAGGTGGTCCCCAGGATGATGACTGAGGACATTGGGCTGGAAGCACTGCTACTCCCAAGGATCTTGGGTTTAGAGTCTTGGCCTGTCTGAGGTCTAAGGGGAGATGGCAGGCAAGGTGGTAGTGGTGACCCAGAAATGGTCCTGGGACAAGCTGTTATAATCCCAGGGGCTTATCTTCTCATAGACTAAGTGGTCCCTCCAATCCAACTGCCTCATTTTACAGATGAGCAAACCACATTCAGGAGGGGGAAGTTATGTGGGATTTGAATGCAGAGCCCTAGCCTCCAATCCTCTGTACCATGCTTCCTCTATTATTCTTATTATTTCATGTTTTATGGACTAGATAATTGATGGATGAAGTGTTAGGTTATAATATTGTCATTGTGATTTTTGTAGCAGGGATGGTCAGGAGAACTTGGAATTCCCTTACAGTACTTGGCTGAGTCCAGCCATCCAGTCCCCACTAAACTGCTTTGCCTTTAACTGACATTATGAGGGCGATGTCTTGACTTGCAAGTGAACTGGATTTAAGTGAGGCAGGGCTGTGCAAAGTCCTCAGCCTCGCTCTCTCCTCTGGAGTCATCTGAGTCTAGTAGCAAGACATAGGTCAGGATGACTGATTGAGAAGAGGTACTTGGATGTTGGTTGTGAGACATGGACCATTTCTCAGGGGATTTGAGATTCTTGGAATCCAGACTGGCACATTTTGCACTGGGGAAGTTTGGGAAATTCTCTTATCAAGTTCCAGCCGTATGAAGTCCTTGTTAAAAAGCTGATCATAGAGTAAATGACAGAAAGCATGAAGAGCTCTTTGAAAGGGAGGGAAATTAAAGCATCTGCCCTTAATGCAGCCAAACTGGGGTCTTTGACTTAGGGGAAGACATTTCCTGATCTGAGCTTTTGTTTTTTGTTTAATGTAAGCTTTGTTAAATGGATATGGCTATGGTCCACCAAAATGGAGAGGAACCTTTGAGGTTCCTTCCAACTCTAAGATTCTATTAAAATTCTGCAAAAATGTTACTGAAGGGCAGCTGGGTGGTGCAGTGGATAGAGCACCGGCCCTGAAGTCAGGAGGACCTGAGTTCAAATCCGGCCTCAGACCAAACACTTGACACTTACTAGCTGTGTGACCCTGGGCAAGTCACTTAACCCCAATTGCCTTAAAAGAAAATGAATTTGGAAGAGTTTTTGTCCCTATAATCAGTAAAGCCCTGGGTGACACTGAAATAGTTAAAAAGGTGGGATAATGGTGGCATCATTGTTACTGGGGGCTTCCCTATTATTGCCAAGGGCACCACAATTCTTCAGTCACCCCAGATGAAAACCTGTGTCATCCTTGACTCTTCACTGGCACCCACCCCACATACCCAATCTATTTTCAAGTCTAGCTATTTCTACCTTCACAATCTCTCTCCTCTATGCCCCCTTCTCTACACTCAAACGGCACCACCCTATTTCAGGTCTTTATCACCAATTACCCAAATTATTATAAAATCCTCTAATTAATCTCCTGCCTCCAGTTTCTTACCCCTGCAATCCATTAACCACTAAGATGCCAAATTGATAATTTTCTAAAGTGAAGGTCTGACCACATCACTCCCTCTACTCAGTTAAATTTTTTTTTTTAGTTATTTGTCAGTCGTGTCTGACTCTCTGTGACCTCACTTGGGATTTTCTTGCCATAGATACTCCAGTTGTTTGCCATTTTCTTCTTTGGCTCATTTTACAGATGAGGAACTGAGGCAAACAGGGTTAAGTGACTTGCCCAGGGTCACACAGTTAGTAAGAATATGAGGTCATATTTGAACTCAGAACTTTCTCTCCCAGGCCTGGTGCTCTGTGCACTATGGCGCCCCCATAGTGGCCCTAATCAGTAAATCTTAGTAGCTCCCCATTACCTTCAAGTATCAAAGCCTCTGAAGCTCCTTACAACCTGGAGTATTCTTACCTTTGCAGTCTTCTACTGTCTACTGTTCCTTTATGCCCTCTAAGATCCAGCTACACTGGACTTCCTGACTTCAGGCCCAGCAGTCTCTCTGCTTCACCACCTAGCTGCCCCACCACGCATCTAGTAGGTGCTTAATACATGTCTATTAAATGGATGAAATGTCTCACTGCACTCTGCTTATCACCTACTTGGAAAATTACATAGGCAATCATCCCTTCCTGCACGTAATTTCCTTGCACCTTCCCTTCTCCCCCTACATTCCCTCTATGTCATTAATATTGTTGGGGCTGAGATAGTTACCCTGTGGCTAGTTTATACAATATTGGTTTGGGATTTTTCCCGGAGCCAATCTGGCTGACCTAGGTTTTGTTGGTAGTTGCCTTATGTCATTGTTTAGGAAGAGACTAGAATTCTCATTACCAGCAAACAGAGTGGAAGTCCCATAAAGTAATCAGAGCAAGGCCTAGTTCAGGGGAGGAAATAGATGTCCAGGAGGTGACCACTGTTCCCCAGAGCTCAGAGAAGCATCTCTGTTCACAGTCATCAGAGGATCATTAGATCTTGGACCTAGAGGTCCTTGGGGTCAACATGCTCATTGTAGGGATAAAGAAAGAGAGGCCAGAGGAGGGTAAGGGGTCTGCCCAAAGTCACACAGGTAGCCAGCATCCAAGGTAGAGTTTGAACCCAGGTCCCCTGACCCTAAAGCCGGTGTCTTCTCCACCATACCACAGGAACTTCCAATTCTTTCCACTCATTAAGAGAGAGTTGGCTCATGGCTCTTGGACCAGTCTGCTTCTAAAACCAGTAATGTGCCACATACCACTTCTCTTCCCAGTTTTAATTAATTTATATATGATAACAATAGTGACAACAACCCACATTTAAATGAAATTTTATGGTTACAAGACATTTTACATATGTTATCTCAATTGACCTTTGTAAAAAAAAAAAAACAACCCTGTAAGATAAGTCATTCAAGAATTTTAACTTCATATTTCACAGATGAAGAAACTGAGGTTCAGAGAGTTTGGACTGAGGTTCACAAAGCTAAAAAAGGCATAGAGGCAGGACCCCAGCCTAGGTCTTGGAACATTAAAGTCTAGTACATAATGTTGTCCCTCTATAATATTTATTCATTTATTTCATTATTATAATAATGGCTAGCATGTATATAGTGCATTAAGGTTCACAAAGCCCTTTACAAATATCTCATTTTATCCTTACAACAAATCTGAGAAGTGGGTGCTATTATTATCTCTATGTTACAGATGAGAAAATTGAGGCAAAGAGAAATTTGATTATGACTTGGAAAGCATCACCATAGTAGAGTCTCATCAAAAGCAGCACCATCCTTCTCATTCCTTCCTGGTAGGGTGTTGGGTAATGACAAGTAGATGACAAAGGTGATAAATGGGATTTTTGTTTTGAATACATATAATGTGTCTTCAATAAATAGACTGGTGGATTGATTAGATAATGATCCATCATGTCCCACCAAGATGCCTATAGGTTGAAAGCTTTTGAGAGCTGATGCCTTCAGATAATATTCCCAGACTATATCTTACTTCCTCTACCCCCATTTTCTACCACCATCTGCCCATCCTGATCCTGGTGTCATGTCAAGTGCCTTAGACACTTAGCAGTTGTGTGACCCTGGGCAATTCACTTAACCTTTGTCCACCTCAGTTTCCTCAATTGTAAAATGGGGTAACTGAAATGCCAACTCCCCGTTGCTGCGAGGATCAAATGAGAGAACATCTGTAAAATACTTAGCACAGTGCCTGACGCTATTTCCTTCCTTCTTTGTCAATGAGCATTAGTTTATCACTTACTATGAGTCAGTAGGCTAAGCTCTAGGGATACCAAAAAAAAAAAAGAGCTCAGAATCTCCTAGGGTGGGCCACATGCAAACAATGTACTTACAAGATACATAAAGGCCAAACTGGAGTTAATGAACAGAGGGAAGACACCAGCATTAAGGGAACTGGTAACAGCTTCTTGTAGAAGGTGGGATTTTAGCTGGGACTTGAAGGAAGTCAGGGAAGACAGGAGGCAGAGATGTGTAAGATAATTACAGGCAAGGGGAACAGCCGGTGCAAATGCTGAGAGGAGGGAGGTGACGGAAATGTGTGAGGAACAGGAGGTCAGTGTCGGAGGAGTGCAGAGTCCATGGCGGGAAGTAAGGTGTAAGAAGACTGGAGAGGGAAGAAGGGGCCAGGTGATGGAGGATTTTATGCCCATGTTTGTCCTATCATCCAGAAAAACCCCATTCAGGTCTGATGTGGATAGACCAGAGCACAGTTAACTGCTTGGATAGATGATATACATTAATTCTGATGGCCATGTTTCCTCACTATTAATGTATCTGCCTTCCCTCTACAGCCTGAACTCACCCAGACCACGTCCTCCAGGCCCAGAATCCGTTTCTTGGACTGGCCACTTGTCCCCTTGGTATTGACTTCAGATTTCTGTCGACATTTATATCGATCTCAGAGCACACTGGTTTGCTCTTAATGGTTCAATTTCTTCCTTGCGTGGGTGGCTCTCACGCTGTGACTGATCTCATTGCAGGTACAGTGGGAGTGCATCAATCCAAAGTACAAAGCCAAGAAGAAGAATTACAAGAACTCTGGCATGGTTATTCTGAACCAGTGCAAGGTAGGACCACAAACATTCTTCTCCCTTTTAGTTGCAAGTTAAGGTTGTCAAAAGGGGAGGGGAAGCCATAGCCAAAATAATAACCCACTTCCACAGGGTTTTCAGGTTTCAAAACCAATCCTGTGGCATAAGCAGTACAAAAATTGTCATCTACATTTTGCAAATGAGGAAACTGAGGCACAGAGATGGGATATGCTTTTACCAGGGTCACACAGCTACTAAATAGCAGAGTTGAGATTCAAATTCTAGCATTCTGTATCTAACACCAAGACATAAATTAATATGAAAGAACAGAGGGGGGGAAAGCTAAAGAGTTCTGATCCTCCTTTCCTGGGATCATTTTGATTCTTTCATCTATATCTTAATCAGACTGTGCTGAAAGGAGAATAACAAAGAGAGGCAAGAAGATAATTGAAAACCAAGAAGGAAGATATAGTACGCAGAGGGAGCTGCTTCATTGCACAGGAGAATCTCCGTGTGCCCATAATAAATAGTCTTTCAAGCCTCCCTTGTTTTCTGTTGGTAGTTAGTATTCAGACATTTTAGGCAAATGTACGCTGTGTGACTGTTCAGGTAATTTCTCCATTCTCTGTGTCTGTTTCCTTTTCTGCAAAGAAAGAGATCATTTCTATCCTACCTGTGTGTGAAAAGAAACAAAACTGAAATAATATATTGCTTTGGACTCAAAAACATGATGCCAATTTAAGGTAGGGTATGAACCTGTAATTTCATTTGTGTAGGGCAGAAATGCACTCCCAAGTGTGGCCCAAACCAGATCAAAATATAATTGGGAAATATTTATCAACAGCAACACACACACACACACTAGAATACAGATAATACATGGTTTTCTAAATCAACACAGGTATTCTTATTCAGGCCCCGTTTCCCCAGTGAAGAAAATCCCTCTGCCAATGCAGGTTGGTACCTTCTCTACAACTTCTAGTCTCAGAGAGTTCCCTCAAACATGAAGAGTTTGCGTGACTTGCTCAGGATCACAGAGTCAGTCTGTGTCCAAGGAAGAAGGTGGGTCTTCTGGCTTTGAGGCCAGCTCTATATTTGCTGAGCCATCTTGCCTCTTGGTCCCAGTAATACACCACCAGTCTTGAATCCTGAGTGTTCAGCCTGCATCCTCTGGGAGCAAGATTAGGGCTGGGGCAAAGACCAGGATTTCAGTTTGGGATACGTTGACTTAGAGGGGCCAGGAAGGAACATGAGATGGAGCTGTCCAGCAGGCAGTGGAAAATGCAAGAGTAGATCTCGGAAGAGTGATCAACTTTTTCACTGGGGACGTGGTTAAGTGATAGAGTCAGGATTCCAACACTCTTCCCACTGCACCCCAGTCGCCTTCTGCAATAAGCCAAAGCAGAGGAAGAAGAAAAGCAGGTGTTCCTAGTGGTCTGTGTTTCTCTCTTCCTATCTTGCCACTTGAAGAAGGAAAATAGCATGGGCTCCTTCCCATGTTGGTACTGTTGCTTCTGCACTCGTGAGCTGCAGCTCCCCGTCCCAAGTTCAGCCCTCACTGTTACTCATCAGAATCCTTCCACCTCCTTCTTTTCAGATCCACAAGATGCATTCCTTCTTAGATTACATCATGGGTGGATGCCAGATCCAGTTCACAGTGAGTTCACGTCTCCATTTACTTTGGCTCAGGGGGTTCATCAAAGCTGTAAGTCCACCGTGTTCATTTAGTATGGTAGCAGAGTCTGGTTGAATTTTATGGTTGTTTTAAAAGCAGACGTGGACATTGTTCTCAGTAAATTGGTAACATTTTATGCATCACATTGGCAGCATTCATTATGGCATTGGACTTCACAGCCAGAAACTCCTGGGGTGAACACTGGCAGCATTCTAGGTGGGGGTGGGAGATTTGAATGAACTTCCAATTATTTTCTTTCTCCCGTGATGACATCTGTGGCCAGATCAATCCATCAAACAGTCAACAAGCATTTATGAAACACCTACTCTGTTTCCAGGCATTGTTCTAGGTACAAGGGGTACAAAGACTTTTAAAGTCAAATCCTCTTAAGGGGGTGACAATCCATAGTGGTCAGTCTATACAAAAGAGCTACAAGCTAATGGGGTGGGGAGATGGTATGAGGCTTGAGTGGATGGAGGAGATCAGGAAAAGGTTCATGTGGCATTTCACTAAGACTTGAAAGAAGCCAAGGATTCTAAGAGGTAGAAGTGAGAAAAGAGTGAATTTCAGGCATGGGGGGCTATCAACACAGAGGCACAGACATGGCAGATCAAGTTCTGTGTGTGTGAGGAATGGTAAGAAGGCCAGTTTGGCTCAACCACAATATACAAAGGATCATAGAATCATTGATTTAGTGCCAGAAGGGACCTTAGAGATCATTGAATCTAACTCGTGAATAATTTTACAGAAGAGGAAACTGGAATCTAGGGAGCTTAAGTGACTTAAGTATCCAAGGTAAGACTAGAACTCCGGTCTTCCTGACTCTGTGTCCACGTAGGTGATGCAGGAATAATGAGATCTCAGAGTATCAAACTTGTCTTGGGGTTTATTGAGATTGCCAGCAAGGGAGCCCCTTCCACATGGGCAGAAACTCCTCAAAGGGAGTTTACATGGGGTTTATATCTTCTTAAACCACAAAGTGGGGGGGGTGCTTCAGGCAAAAGGAAATTGAGAGGGAATGTTGCAAGAGCTGATTGATTCGATAAGATGCCTTGACCCTGAACAGAGGTTATCACACAAGATGTTTTTGTGGAGGGGTGAGGAGGGGTAGAAATGGGACAAGGGAGTCCTTTAATTGGTGAGCTAATGCTTGACACCCGATGGACAGAGCTAGTGCTCAGTTTGTGAGCCACATGCAACATTCTCTGCTTTGCCATGCTCCCAGAGAAATGTGTGATCAGGCTAGAAAGGTAGGCTGGGCCAGGTTGTGGCAGGCTGTAGGTGCTGGACATACATTGATATGTGACTCCCCCTTAAAAAGTAATTAATGCCTGTTTCATTCTGTGTGTGGGGGGGAGTGAGAACAAATCTCACACTGGGGGGATTGAACTCAATGAGCTCTAAGGTCCCTACCAGCTTTCACTTTCCATCTCTACTCCTATGATCCCATCTTAGTTATTGGTGCCTAGACATCTCCATGAGACCAGGAGAACCTGGCACTTTTCTAATTTCTCGATTAATGAAGTGCTAATGAGCACTAGGTGGATAAATTAGGAGCAGCCACACCTGAATGTCTGATTCCTGGGCTCGAAGGCTGTTTTTGATGGAAGCAGGATGCATTGACATCAGCCAAGGGGGAAATTCTGTGTACTAGCAGCCACCAGAAATAATTACCCAGGGAGGTCAGAGGATAGTTTTGAGAAGTTATTTGTGAGATTTTAAAACAGGATGGTATAGATTTGGGTCATTTTTAGATTGCATAGGTCGTGAGCAACCTTTAGATACTCATTTTACTCACCTTGTTGCCATCATCTAAGAGAAATACTGGATTCCATTTCAGGCAGTCTATGACTTATGTATGTGGTCATCACCTTACAGTTCTGAAAACTTATCTGTAAAATGGGAATAATAACACCTATATTACCCACTTCTCAGGGTTATTGTGAAGCTTTACTTGCGAAAGCATTTGGCAGTCTTTAAAACTGTATGTGAGTTTATTATTATTTCTGACAAATCCATCCATCCAACAAAGAGGTACCCCAGACATACTGTCCAGGAACTCCCCTCCTGACCATCCCTAGACATTGCTTTCTCATTCCTTGCCTAAGCCTCCCATTCAACTTCTTTGTCACAGACCCTACTACCCCCTGACATACGCTCCTTTAAGGCTCTTTACCTCTACCAGTCCTATCATCTCAGTGCCCAGAATTCTTAGACAAGAAGAAGGGCTGGGGGAGGTGGAGAGCAGGCACATGCTGGTGAAAGGAAAGGGAGAGAAAAGGAATAAAAAGCCATTCTGCCATCTTACTTCTTCCGCCCCAATATGTATTCAGCTGGTTTCTCTGGCACTAGTATTCTGCAGCAATAAAGGGAAGGAAGAAGGTGAGAAGGAAGAAGGAAAGACAGGATGGGATGTCTGCCACCACGTCTTCCTCCTCCTTCCCCCTGCATCCCATCAGCAACAGAGGAGAAAGGGAGAAGGGAAGGGAGAAGAGGAGAGCAGAAGGGAAACCCTATCTTCTACTGTTGTCCTCACCTTTCTCCCCAGGAAAAAAAGGGTAGGGAGAGAGAAGTGGTCAGCTAAACTTTTCCTTAGTCTGCTCAGTCCTTCCTTCATATTCAGAATTCCTTCAGTTCTCCTCCTCACCCTCCCCCGAGCTTCTAGGTATAATCTCACACACACACACACACACACACACACATATATGTACACACGCACACACGCACGCGCTTTGGGTCTGCTATGTAGAGACTAAGACGAGTTCATAACTGTGCTGATCATATGCCCAGATTTGCCAGGGTTTCATCATCCAAGTTTTCCAAATGCTCAATTACTCCTGGGGATCAATATTAAGAACCAGTATTCCCAGTGTTTAACACAGTGCTTTGTATGTAGTAAGTTCTTAATAATGGGTTATGCATTCATTCACTTGTATTCCCAGAAATTAGCACCATACCTGGTAGCATTTATAAATGTTCTATCTATCTATCTATCTAAGAACACTCTTTTCTTTTCCTTTTTGTTAGGCAATGGGTTAAGTGACTTGCCCAGGGTCACACAGCTAGTAAGTGTCAAGTGTCTGAGGCCAGATTTGAACTCAGGTCCTCCTGACTCCAGGACTGGTGCTCTATCCACTGCGCTACCTAGCTGCCCCTGGAACACTCTTTTGTTATAGAAATCTCATCACATTTGTTTCACTGCCACTATGTGGCATAACTGGTACTGTTCTTTAGGGATACTGTAGATAGAACAGGCTTTTTGAGGTGAGCCTGGGAACCTAACCACCATGTATAAACATGGTTTCCATGGACAAATGTATTTTTTCCAAGGAAATGACTCAGGGATTCACACCTGGAGCATTTCTGTAAGTTGGGGATTAGTTTGTCTGCTTTTGGAGGGCTTGGATGGTACTTAGGTTTTCTAGGCGTGTTTTTTCTTCACTAAAAATGATAGAACAGAACCCTAGAGATGGAAGGAATCTCAGAGTTCTAGCTCAGTCTCCTACACTATGCTGCCTCTGATGCATCAAAGAACCTGGTGAGCCTCAGCTGCCAACTCCCCTGACTGGTTACTCTAAAATCACCTCCTTTGCTCTCTAGCAAAGTCAAGAAACCTCGAGTGTTGAGACTGTAGGTATAGGGACATTTCTAGACTTTTGGCTGGAGCAGCTCTTTTTTTCAATTGTGGTTAAGTGACTTGCCCAGGGTCACACATGGAGCAATTCTTGTGGGCTCTATGGTTAAAAGAGGAAGAGGAGGAGGGAATAACAGAATATTAGGTATCATAGTCCTAAACAAAATGGCGGTTGATATTAGAAAAGCCAACTGAGAAGGCTACCCAGGGGAAGGGAGGTGGTAACCTCTAAACTCAACCCAACCCAAGTTATTATTTTTATCTGACAGATCTTGGTAGGTGGGATTTAAACTCAATTCTTATTCATTCTAAATCCAATCCTGTATCTATTATACTGCTTATTTGCTCTGAAAGCAGGGGGACCACTCATCCCCATTCCCCTCCCATACATCAGCCACAGGACCATGACAACTTGCAGAGATCAAGCCAGCCATCCCTAGCTTGGCCCCTAGGATAATGCAGGAGCCTCAGGGGTAGGGAATCTTGGGGATGGCAGCAGCAGATCCCCAGAGATGTCACCCTTTGATTGTTCCTACTTCCAATCAGCTTGAGCTACTGGAGGTAAACTTAACCATTCCCCTACTGATGTAACCACATTGCCTGGACATAAGCTGCTGCTTCTACCTGCCCCCAGCAGCTCCCTTCCTACCAGTCTCAGGTAGAGCTTCTCCATTCTGCTCACAAAGAGGGGCAGAACCAATCAAGGATCAACTTCCCAGAGAGGGAAGCAAAAGCTTGCTTCTTGGCTAAAGTTCTCAGTAAGCTTGGCCAGTATTGCCTCATCAGCACTGCTATTAGGGAAGCAAATCATTAATTCCTCATTTATAGAGGTTTCAAACAGGCAGCCTTCAGGCCATGAGTATGGCAATAAAAAATGTAATTGGGAAAGATTTAGCAAAATAAATAAAAATACAATACAAGATAGATAATGTTAATATGTGGTTTTCTAAGTCACTCTGCTGCTTTATGTGTTTCTATTTGAGCTTGATACCACTGGGGTAGAAGTTTTATCCAAGTTGCCTGAAATTAAGCCAAGTATTGACAGTATAAAATTGTAAATAATATCTGCCTCCCCCATCAAGATTAGGACCAGACAGGCCCCACTTGGGCATCCTTCATGTTAAAAATCAGTCCCCCAATGACACCCAGCCTCGGTATACCTTTCTAGGCCTCCTCCTTGGTCATAGGCACAATGTACCAACTTCCATTTCTTTTCCTTCCGACACATAGTCATTCAAGAAAAACTGTATAGAACAGATCTTAAATTTCAGAATTTGTATCCATAATTCCTAGCAAGCCATTACCTGTTATCTTAAGGCTGAGACTTTCCTAGAGCCCCCATTCCTTT